TATATACACACACACACACACACCATTCCTCTACTCAATACTTATGACACCATGATACCAAATGTGTGGACTTTTCACAGTGAGCAATTCTCCAATTCTCTGCACCAGCTGGGTGTCCTATAACTTAATTCAATTCTGACACTACCTAGAGTCAGCACAGACCCCACAGGTCAATGGTTAGTTCGCAAAAGACTAACCCCACTTCAGACACCAGACTCAAGTATTAGGTACTCAGCGTACCCACATTTGTCTGACTCAGCTACAAATTGGGGGTTCCCACAATCCCTGCCTCAGGTTCAATAAATTGCTAGAATGGTCACAGATCTCAGGGAAATACATCCTTTATGTTTATTGGTCTATTATAAGATTCTATAGAGGGTCTAGATGAACAGCCAGCTGAAGAGGTACACAGAGCAAAGTCCAGAAAGGGGCTCAGCTACAGGAGCTTCTCTCCCCATGGAGCTGGGTTGCACCATACTTCTGGATGGAGGTTGGAGCTCAAAGTCTAAGCTTCTAACCATGGCAGGGTGATTGTGATCAGGTCCTATTCTGAAGCTATCCAATTGAAGACCACTGTAAGTCTTTAAAACAAAAGATGTTGTTTTCATCCAGAAAATTACCTGGGATTTAGAAGTTCTGTGTAAAATACTTCTATCATGCCCAAACTCTGGAAATTACAAGGGTTTCAGGAGCTGCGTCAGGAAACAGGGGCTGAGACCAAATATATATTTCTTACTGTGTCACAGTTGATTTAAGGAAAAGCACCAGGGTAGGTGTTAAAATTAGTGGGTTATCATCAAAATGCCAGAGTACCTTCTACTTGGTCCATTGTTTTTTATTAGAGGAAGAATTAAAAGAACTCACATCTCCTGACAATTGATTCAATATTCTTTCCTCTCTCAACCAGGGATTCTTAACCATTTGGGGAATTACAGATCCCTGGGAGAATTTCATGAAAGCTATGAAACCTCCTCCTATAAAACTGCACAAACTTCTGTACTGAATTTTAGGGAGTCAATACAACCATGAAGCAGAGCCATAGATCACAAAGGAACAAACCCCTTCGTTTGTTAGTTCAAAGTTGCTGGGACCAGCAGTTAGCGTAATGGCTATGTTGCTGGACTCCCACATAGTCAACCGCGGTTCGTGTCCTGGACCTGGTGGCTTAAAACTCAATGCCAGGCGCATGTGCGTGTGTGCCCAAGATCCCGAGAGGAGAATGGAGGAGAAGGGATTGCGGCGGGGCCATCCCCCCTGGGGGGGTGATTTCTCACTTTCTGTCTCTCTCTGTCTGGCAAGTGCACGCGCCCTATAGCAAAAACCTCTCAAAAAAAAAAAAGTTGCTGAAAGACTGATTCAGGGACTTGACAGTTAACAGAATATGAAAAGAGAAAGCAGGAGACTCATTACAGTTAGCAAAGCTGAGAAATTGGGAAATCAAAATGCTGGGGTCAGACAGCTAAATTGTTAAGTCAAATATTATGTAGTAAAATGCAGATTTACCTCAGATCTCTTAGGACCTCACTACAATTGTAAATTCTCTACAATAGATACTTAAGAATATTACAGTCTCCCTACTCTGACCTATTCCTTTGATCTTATATTTATAATTCGATTGTCATCTTTTTTTGTGTTCATTTTGGAACTGGAAAATCTGTTCACCTTGACTCAGCTTTGTCTCTATCAAATTTCCTATAGGCACAGGTAATAATTTGATTGTTATCTGAGGCCACTAATATCTTTATATAAATCAGTGATTTATAATATTGATAATAGGTCACTTCATTTAAAATATCAAGAGTATAAATTACCTGAGGCTTGCTTCCATCTGTGTTACTTATTAAAGAACGAGGATGAATTTTCTTGTATACTCACAAAGTCCATTATCTCAGAGCATAAACTCAATTATTCATGAAGAGTAAATGTTTTCATCCTAACAGACCTTACTGGACAAAACCTTACTTTCTGATCATGCTAAGAAATACTGGAAATAAATTATTTCCCCTACCATCAATTCTATCTCTAGCATTCAATAAAGAAATCTTGTTCAGAGCATGATTCTCTGACTAATGATTATAAAGATTAGCACGCAAAATATTTCCATAAAAAGGGTTTGTATACCAACGACATAGTCATATTTATAAAACTCATTTTAGCTACTGGCTATTAAATCTTTTTTTTTTTTTGGAGAAGTTTTTGCTATAGGGTGCGTGCGCTCGCCAGACAGAGAGAGACAGAGAGACAGAAAGCAAGAAATCACCCCCCAGAGGGGATGGTCACGCCGCAATCCCTTCTCCTCCATTCTCCTCTCGGGATCTTGGGCATGCACGCACACGCGCCCGGCGTGAGTTTTAAGCCACCGGGTCCGGGACGCGAACCACAGTCGACTACGTGGGAGTCCAGCGACATAGCCATTACGCTAACTGCTGGTTCCTGTGACCATTAAATCTTCAACTCCAAATTAATGCAAGTTTGTGGGCATACTCAGGTCACTTATTTCAGGAAATATTTGTAACATTAAATTTAAAAATAATTTAAAGAGTCATTTAGAGTTCATTATATGTTATAACTAGCATTTATGTCCCTACTTAATATTAGGTTCTCAGGAAATATATATTGCAAATTTGTACTCTATGGAAGAAACTGAAAATACTGGAAGGTATAATAGCAAGGAGAGCAAATGAAGATACTAGAATCTGTATCAGAGGGAGTGGGGAATGTGAAAGAGAAGGGACCAGGGGAGAAAAAACATTTAACAGAAATGAAAATGAAGTTGTCTGTTGATGATAATGTACATGGTAATATCTAAGACTTGACTAATATGCACCATTTTCATGCTAGGAAAAAACATTTTTGTATGCTGCAAAGATGTACAGTGATTAAACATTAGGTCAGGAAAGTCATGACACACTTTGCATAGAAAACTACATGACTTTCCCAATGACCTAATAGATTAGAAAGAAAAGTGCATTGCCAACCCAATATATACCTCCAAAAAATAAAGACTAGTAAAATGATTATCAAATGTGTGCAAAATAACAATATTCTTTGTTGATGATGAAGTTTATATCCTTGATCATCACACTGTATACATATTTTGAAAAGCTATAGTATACCCCAATATGTACAATGATTAAATGTGAATCAAAAATAATAAAAATTTAAGAAGACATGAAAAAATTATTTTTTAAAAATATGCTTCCCCGGGACCAGCAGTTGAAGTAATGGCTGTCACTGTACTCCCATGTAGTCTACCACGGATCGAGTCCTGGACTGGCTTAAACTCAAGCCAGGTGCGTGTGCATGTATGCTCAAGATCCCAAGAGAAGAGAAGGGATTGTGGCATGGCCATCCCCCCTGGGAAGTGATTTCTTGCTTTCTATCTCTCTGTCTCTCTCTGTCTTTCTGGTTTTTGCCCTATAGCAAAAACCTCTCCAAAAAAAAAAAAACATGCTTCAGTTGAGCAGAAGCATAAAAATTGAGCTCTAGTTTATACTTAATAATTACCTTTTACTCTATATTTAAAAATTATTTAATTTTATTTATTATTATTTTTCTTAATTTTCTATAGGGTACATGTGCTCACCAGAGAGAGAGAGAGAGGGAAAGTGAGAAAGCACGCCACCAGGTCTGGGACTTGAACCAGATCAGCCATGTGGGAGTCCAGCACCTTAATCACCACATCACCTGCTGGTTCCTCCTTTTACTCTACATTTAATTGGCAATTCAGATTATTATTTTAAAAGATTTGCTGGAGTTCCATGAATTTTGATTTTAGAACTATCCAAAACTGAGAAATGTCCTTATTTATCATTTTAAGGCTTTAAACATTTTAAGGCTTAAGTGAGTCTAACTGATTTGAAAGAAAAATTGAGAGATTCTTTCAACACTTTATTTTGTTTCTGAAATACAAATCAAAATACGTTTTTGTTACATATCATCTTAACAAGCTTGACATTCTTTTTAATACAAGGCAATGCAATAGGCTGTTGAAAACTTCCTTATTTCAAAACAATACACTTTATTTTGGAGGGCTACAGCTCACCAGAGAGCTACTGGATACACACACAGGGTACAGTTTTCCACTATTTTGGAGCATACCCTCCAAATTAATATTTGGTCCACTAAAATATACAGGTATTCCTCCTATAATAAAAATAATTTAAACTTTATGGCTGGAAAGAAACCCAAATATTTGGCATAGGCCTCTGAGTGGGCTTGAAAAACACTTTAGGATATATTTCAACTGTAAGGAGGATCATGTAGAATCCACCTACACCCATCTGGCAGAACAATTGGCTTGTTGCTGTTGGGGTTGTTCTGCCTTGGAGGGGGATAGAAAGTGTATGGGAGGGTGCTGCCAATTCCCAACAACCACAGAATTACTTACTCAAGACTAACTAAAATTCAATATAGAACAATACACAAGAGTAGAACAATATCAATAGTTATTCAATGCCTGGAAAGCAAGTTATAAGCTTAGAACAAATACACCTGCAGGAACGACAGTCAATGTGTTTATAAGACTTTGAAGGTGAGAAAACTTCATCATTCACAGGTGAATGATGTTTTGTGCACAAGGAAATTACTTTCCAGGACACTAGGGACAACAACAGAACATATAAAGTAAGAATAAATCCAAGTTGTTTAACCTTCCACCATTCTTTTGAGCATTAAACCCAGGCCACCCTTGGCTACTTGCAAGGGTGTCTTTTCTTCTTTATTCTCAATGTAAATACTTGCTCCTTGGGAGACCAGCAGTTTTGCTTCTTCCACTCTCTCCTCATCACAGGCTAAGTGTCTGAAATCAGGGATCACAAAGACCAATTAATCATAATCAATTCTATGCAATGGTCAGGAGTTCCTAGTAGATAATCAAAACTGATTATAAGACAATAGTAATATTGGAAAAGTTAGGAAAGGGAAACCAATGTGCACTGGGGAAGACTGTTTATAAGTTAAAGTTCAGTGGCATAGCCTTATAATACCATATCAGAAATCATAATTCTGGTCCTACTACAATAGAAAGGATCTTAATGCTAGCCTAAGGAACAATTTCCTCATTTTATGGAGATTAGTAGTAGTTAACCTCAAACACTACATGTGGTAATTCAGAATTCAGAGGAGTCTCAATTCATAATCTGTTCATAGACATTTGATGGGCTTACATTTTGGAAACATAGTTTAACAGATTTCATCTTGTTTGATCCCCATGTCTACCTAGTAAGTCAGTAAGGCATTATTTACGGTTGAAACCAACCATGATAGATGTTAAAGTTCTTGTCTATGATGATGTGACTGAGTGATGAACTGAGCAGAGAAGGAAACTAAGAAAGACACTTCAGAGTTTATCAGGCAAAGAATTGGATACTTCACAACAATCCAGTGAATATTATTATTCCACTCACAACAATCCAGTGAATATTATTCTCGTATTACACATGAGGAAACTAAGACTCAGGAAGGCTAAGTAACTTACCTAAGTTACTTAAAGTATTTAATCTAGTTGGTCAGTGCTAGGGTTTGGATTGAGTGAACAGCATCTAGTTCTTTCAAAATCCTATGTTCTTTCCAGGACCCTATACTGTTTATGAGATTTCCTCCAGGCCATCTTGCCTTTCTGGTTATAGAGAAAAGAGCTAAAATCTGCAGTTCTTTTTCTTTTTTTTTCTTTTTTTTTGGAGAGATTTTTGCTATAGGGTGCGTGCATTCGCCAGACAGACAGAGAGAGAGAGACAGAAAGCAAGAAATCACCCCCCAGAGGGGATGGCCACGCCACAATCCTTTCTCCTCCATTCTCCTCTCAGGATCTTGGGCGCACACGCACACGCACCTGGCGTGAGTTTAAGCCACCGGGTCCAGGACTCGAACTGCGGTAGACTACGTGGGAGCCCAGAGAAATAGCCATTACATTAACTGCTGGCCCCAAATCTACAGTTCTTTTAAAATGGAATCACACACATCTACAGGAAAGTTCTTAAAACTAAGAGTTAAGAAACTAATACCATTTTTATAAGCCTAAACCACATTTTTTTTATTGCCTCTCCATAATCTTGTGGTTTCTCTATACTTATAGATAACCATGTTTTACAGACCATTTTTGTTTGACAGATACCATGATAATTAGTTGAATGAACTTAAATTGTTCTCCATTCTTTTTTCCTTAGTTCATTTCTTTTTATTTTTACACTAATTATCTTTGGAAGCTCTTGAATAAATTCTGTCTCTCTTCTGATGGGGTCCAGGCGGCTGACAATAGTGGACTCTGCAACCAAAGGGTGCTCCATCAGGGCATTTTCTAATGCAAAAGTCCAATTCAGTAACCAAAGGATATTATGATATTATCTAATCTTGCAACAAACTGGAAATATCCATCCTCATCCATATACGCCCATTCCTGGTGATATAGAAATTGTCTCATAGAGTTGAGCTGTTTTTGAAGGACCATTCTGCTAAACCTGCACATCCCACACAGTAACCTGACCTTGAGCCGGTGCACTGGAATTGCTGAAGGTTCTCAGGAGACATATTTCTATCATGGGATGAATTGAAATCTGGCCCAAAACAATACTTTTTTAAAAGTTTGTTTAAAGTTAAGTTCAAAAAGGTTGAACCTCACTCTGGATTAAAAAGAAGAGTCACAAAATTTCTGGTTAAAAAAGAAAATCACTAAAATGGTTTATTACTTGTTGTTGATAACATGTATAATATTCTCAACTGGACTGGTCTGAGAAGTATTTCATGTAAGGTAAATTCTCTTTACAAGCCAAATGATGTACAGTGATTGAATGTCTTTTAAAAAATAATGAGAATAAAAAGTAATAATAATAATCTAAAAAAATGAAGAGCTATTTGATGATGATGATGATGTGGATAGTGATATCTTTGTCTTGACTGATATGCATGGTAATCATGCTGGAAAAAGAAATTCTATATACTGTAAAGATATATGTGATTAAATGTAATACATTTAAAAAGGACATTAATAGGCAAAATGCCTTCAGTAACTGAAAAAAAAAATCACTGAAAACAGAGAAGAAAAGCAGCTGAGTACAGAAGAAACAACAATGTAGAGGCCAGCTTCAGATCATACACCTGAAGTCTGGATGGGCTTAAGAGTTAAATGCAGAACAATAACAATAACTCCCAATCAAAAACAGTTAATTATTTTTTTAAAAAAACCTTTAGAACAAAGGGAAATATTTAAGTAATTTCAAGATGAGAGAGCTTTTCTAGCCATGAGGGAAGATGAACAGTTTTGACTACATATAAACTGAAAACTTCAGGTTTTTTTCTAAAATTTAAATCATTAACAAAACAAAAATACAAACTGGGAAAAATATTTTCAACCAACATGGCACAACGTTAATATTTTTACTATGTCTAATCAAGAGCACTTAACCAGTACAAATAAGTAAATTAATTCCCCAAAAGGCAAGAGACAGAGGGACACCAAAAGTACAATTTAGAGAACAGCCATATGCATTAAAAAATGCTCAAAAGGTAATAAAAAAAGGTGAATTACAACTATGAAATAGCACTTGCTATATAACAGAAGGATCATTTCAGTGTTGGTAAAGGGGTGATAGGCACTCTTAAACTGCTATTGGGAGGGTACAATGATACAACTCCTCTGGAAGCAATTTGGCAATATATAGCAATAGTCTTAAATTGTGTGTATTTGTCGACTCAGCACTCCAGCTTGTAGGAGTTTACACTAAGGTAATGGCAATATGGCCAAAGGGTTTTGGACAAAGTTGGTTCATGCAGTATTATCTATAATACTACAGTGTTAGAAAATTTTAAGAAGTTTAAATATACGTCATTAGAGAAATTATTAAATTATGGTGGAGCCATAAAATGGACTTGTATATAGCCATTAGAAATGTTTTAAACATATTTAATGATATTGAAAAATGCTCACAATATATTATGGGGTGAAAAGAACAAGATATACAACTACATACACTGCATGACCCCAATTGTGCTAAAATATATATGTGTAAGATATAACATTTGCATAGAAAAGCCTGGGAGGAAATACACAAAAGTGTTATCTTTGGTTATTTTGGGGAGGTAAGAAAATAGATGATTCTTATTTTTACCTTTATACTTTTGTGTACTTTCAAATTCTTTTGCCAATAACATATATTGCATTTATATGCAGAATAAAAAAAGAAATGATATGTAAGCATTATTGCAAGAGGGTTAATGTCAAGTAGAATACAAATGACTGCTACTTGTCACTTACAGAGGAGTGTTACCCTCAGTGTCTTGAATGTTTGTGGATGCTTTGTAGTACAGAAGGATATGAATCATCTTCAAGTTACCCTTGGCTGCGGCCCGGTGCATTGCTGTAGCCTCATAATGATCCTTAGCATCTGGATTAGCCCCACCTTCTAGTAACATGACAGCAATCTGGAGAAGAAAACAATGCAGAGATCTTTCTGTGCCCTGGCACACATTTTGAACCCAGTAGAAGTAGCCCATGCATGGAACCATACCTCATGCCTGTTTTTGGAAGCTGCATAATGTAGGGGTGTGCAGCCATTTTGATTGACAGCATTCACTTGAGCACCTTTCCCCAGCAGGGCTTTTACAATCTCATCCCGGCCAGCAGAAGCAGCAATATGAAGAGGAGACCAACCTGCCTGTAAAAGAGAGAGACAGAACAAAAACAAGGAGGAACAGGCACAGGTATTAATGTTAAAACTTCAATTGGGTTTACAAAGCATTATGTGTGAATGGATTAAAAAATAACCCTTTACAGGGCTAGCAGAGTCGCTGAACTCCCACATGGCCGATCTCAGTTCGAATCCTGGACGTGGTAGCTTCAAAATCATGGCAGGCAGGTGTGAGTGAGTTCGTGCTCAAGATCCCAGGAGGAGAATGAATGAGATGAGATGAGATGAAATGAGATGAGAGAGAGTGAGAGAGTGAGAGAGAGAG